TGGGCCTACCAGCTTTCTCTGCTTGATTTGAAGCCGCTAAAATTTATGAGTATATGTACGTCAAACACAGTACCTCGTAAAACGTATATATACGGCCGCGACAGTCAAAGGGTTAACCTATAAATATCTCTATGCATTGTCCACAGAGTCCAAGAATTTTCAAAAAAAAAATTTGTTATTTTTTCTTATGAAATGGTAGAGAATTGTTTTCTGATTACAGATTAACAAATTTTACTGTGTCAACGATATTTACACATCGGCGATTTTGCCCACTTTGACTCCTATTTTAGGCCAATTACATTATTTCAGTTTAACAAATTCTTAGCTATTTTGCTAGTATTTCTTCTATTTTATTGATTGAGCACAAGAAACTGCCCAATCAACTATTTCACCTACCCAATATAGTGATCAGAAATTGGTAATTTGGCCAATTTCACACAAAGTTCAAAATATTCCAATTTCAAAATAGGGTCCAGAATAAACAATGCAAGCATTCCTGGCACTAAAATAACATTTCCTCTGTTATTAGTTACGTTTCCAGGCTTTACACATGAATTCAATTTTAATTTTTTATTTACATAAAGAATTTTTATTCACACTGAAAAATAGAAGATTTACTGTCCTGCAATACTGTAATACATAATTGTATAAATAATATCAGCACTTTAGTGAAGGTATATTATACTCACCAGTTGATGTGTATTGTACGCGTGACGTCATTTGTTTCCTCTTGAACACTGGCAAAAATCGAATATTTCCGCTACTTTGAGATGAACTTCAAGCTATTTTCAGTACTAAAACCAATCAAAATTATCTCTATTTCTGTAATATATCTTCCATTCTATCAAATGAGACCAATAAACTGTGAATACAGCTGTAAAAAACATACAAAAATACACTGCAAATTCGGTGTTTTAATCCAACACACGGTTGAAGTTTTTTTCCTCATTATGCACTGCATGCTGCAGGACTTCTTTCATATGGTGCACACTTATCAAACAGATCCATTCTCTCATATCTAGGCCCAAATTTACCGCTCACAGCTTATCTGAGTGAGCTGAGCTCGTGGCATAGAACTACGGCTTCGACCCTTTGGACAAGGCGTAGACAAGGCTTGGACCCCCCTCAAAGGGTTAAACCTGCCCTCTTCCCTTAAAATAGCAACTTTGAGGGGTTTTATTGGTGCCTTCTTGGTATCAGTTGATAGAATGGACAACATACTAGCGAAACTGAGATGATTTTGTTGTTTCACAACCAAAAGTTTCTGAAATAGCACTCAAAACAGCAAAAATATTAGATTTTTGGCAATTTTCTTGAGGAAGGGTACAGAGTGGCACTTTTCCTAAGGAAAGGAAGGGACCCTCTACTGCCCCGTTGGTCAGTTTTATGAGTTTTTACTCGATCTTGTCCAAATTTTGGGATGTCCTAACCATGACCAATCATTCTTGGTTATATTTTTTTTATTAATCTGAGAGAAAGTGTAAAACTTTGATTTTTTTGTGATGATGGATTCAAAACAAAGGGCAAGTGTTATATAGGAGAGCCATGGGAACATAATTAATGAATAGAAGATAGGCTACTTTAGTGGTTGGAAAACACAGTGTTCATTTTTTATTCAGTTTTTAAATTGGAATTTGTTGAATTCTGTGTAAAATTGAACACATCATTGATTTTGGTGCACTTTATAGTAAAGTTCTTATAGCTGAATGGGCAATTTCTTGTGATCAATCGACAGAATGGAAGACATATTGTGTGGCGTAAATGTTATGTAGAGAACTCGTACTGTGGAAATGAGGTGGTGTGGAGTTACTAAAAGTATTATTCAGAGGGCTGAGGAACTGTTGTTAAGGTGGTTTGGCCTGGAGGATGTGTAAATCTGTAGTGGAGGGAAGGACGGGTAGGAAATGATGAAGGAAGGGGATAAAAGAGGTTTTGTGTTTTAGGGGCTTGGACATACAGCAGGCATGTGTGTGTGTGTTACATAGGAGTGGAGACAAACGGTTTTTGGGACTAGACGAGCTGTTGGAGTTTGAGCAGGGGAATATTTTGTGAAGGGATTCAGGGGAAACTGGTTAGACACACTTGAGTCTTGGAGGTGGGAAGTACAATGCCTGCACTTTAAAGCAGGAGGTTTGGATATTTCCTGTTTGAAGTGACATCTGAACCGTCATATCTGTGTGCCTCTGTAAAGTGATTATGTGTGAATGAGAGGGGAAGTGTTGAATGACGATGAAAGTGTTTCTTTTCTAGGTCACCCTGCCTCAATGGGAGACAGCCAGCATGTTAAAAAAAAAAAAAAGCCTGCTGAGCATACCTGGTAATGTGTATGGTAGAGTTATCACTGAAAGAATTCAGAGTAAGATGGCTAGCAGGACTTCAGATGAACAAGGAAGCTTTATAAAGTGTAGGGGATTTGTAGACCAAGTGTTTACAGTGAAGCATATAAGTGAACATTATTTAGATAAAGGTAAAGAGGTTTTTGTTACATTTATGGATTTGGAAAAGACATACGATAGGATGGACAGGGAAGCAATGTTTCAGATGTTGCAAGAGCATGGAAAAGGTGGTAGGTTACTGAAAGAAGTTAAGAGTTTTTGAGGGTAGTGAGGCTCAGGTTAGAGTATGTAGGAGAGAGGGAGATTATTTCCCAGTTAAAGTAGGACTTAGACAGGGATGCGTGATGTCACTATGACTGTTCAACATTTTTACAGATGGGGTTGCAAGAGAAGTGAATGCTGAGGTGTTGGCAAGAGGTGTGGGATTAATAAAGAACCTAACACAAAGAAGAAGCTGTCACAGTTGCTTTTTGCTTTTGGGAGATTCTGAAGAGAAGCTGCTGAAGTTGGTGGACAAGTCTAGGAGGATATGTAAAAGAAGGAAATTAAAAGTGAGCATAGGAAAGAGCAAGGTGATGAGGATAACAAAAAATTTAGATAATGAAAGATTGGATACTAGACTGGAGGGAGTGAGTATTGAGGAAGTGAATGTATTCAGGTATTTGAGAGTATGTGTGTCAGCAGAGTGGTCTATGAAAGATGAGTGAACCACAGAACTGATGAGGAGAAAAGGGAGAGTGGTACAATGGGGATTCAGTGCAGACAAAGAATGTTATCCATGGAAGGAAAGAGGAGAATGCATGAGAGTACAGTGGTACCAACACTCTTATATGGGTATGAAGCATGGGTGATGAATGTTGGAAAATGGGAAAGGCTAAAGGAAGTGGAGATGTTGTGTCTTAGGGCAATGTGTGGTGTAAATATTATCCAGAGAATCTAAAGCTTGGAGATTAGAAGGAAGTGCAGGGTTTCTAAAAGTATTATAAAGAGGGGTGAGGAACGGTTGTTAACGTGGTTCAGTCATTTAGAGAGGATGGAACGAAATAAAATGACTTGGATGGCATATAAATCTGTAGTGGAAAGAAGGCAGGGTAGGGGTCATCCTAGGAAGGATTCAAGGGAGGGGGTAAAGGAGGTTTTGTGTGGGAGAGGCTTAGACTTCCAGCAAGCATGCGTGACTGTGCTCGATAGAAACAAGGGGAGGCAAATGGTTTTTATGACTTCATGTGCTGCTGGAGCTGTGAGCTGAGTAACATTTATGAAGGGATTCAGGGAAGCCAGACTTAGGGTCCTAGAGGTGGGAAGTACAGTGCTTGTGCTCTGAAGGAGGGGTGGAGATGTGTTGCATTTTTTGAATTGTAGTGTCGGCACACCTCTGGCAAGACAGCAATGGAGTAAGCGATGATAAAAGTGTCTCTTCTTTTTTTAAGTCACTCTGCTTCAGTGGGAAATGGCCAATGTGTTGCTAAAAAAAAAAAAATTATTGGATGAAACTGGTTATTGCACCAATTTTGGCTTCCCTCTTGTCCATATCTTTGTGTACACAAGGTTCTTCATTAACATCTGGTAATGTATAACCCACTTCGATTTAGTGCTTAGTTGTGAATACAGGTCCACATTCCTTTATCCGAAATTCTGAAATTCGAAAAGTTCCAAAAACTGAAGTTTTTTGTGGAGTGTGGAGCGTCAGTCATCTCTACGTAACTCCAACTCTGCCACATGATGGCGTGACCCAGCACTGACAGCCAGGGTGGCAGGCGTCAGTTGTGTCTCAGCGCTTGTAGTGTTCACACGTGCGTCTGCTGTTCGCTGATGTTTTGTTTTTGTTTTTTATTTTGTGACTGTGTTTAATTCACTGTGAAAATATCAAAAAAGAGCTGCAGACATCCCTATAAGTAACAGTGAGGAAAAGAAAAGGAAGCACCTGATGTTATCAATAATGCAGAAAGTAGAGTTACTGCAGAAGCCTGATTGTGGTGTGTCAGTGCAGCGTCTTACTGAAGAATATGGTGTTGGTACTACCACTGTTTATGATTTAAAGAAGCAGAAAGACAAGTTACTGAAGTATTGGTCATGAAACAAGCTAGAATATACCATGAAGAACTGAACATTGAAGGCGAGCGTTAATATTCAGATGGTTGGCTGCAAAAATTTAAGAAGCGTTATGGTGTAAAATATCTGAAAATCTGTGGTGAAAAACCTTCTGCTGACCATGAACCAGCTGAAAATTACATGTTCCTGGTCCATAATTTTCCCATTATTTCATTTATCAATGTATTACTCTATAAATAAACCGTAGTAGTATTTGTAGTCTTTATAATTAAAAAAATTCTGAAATTCGAAACACTACTGGCCCCAAGGGTTTCAGATAAAGGAAATGCGGACCTGTATAATAGTAATTTGATTTTAAAACTTCAGAAATGCAGTACAATATGTATTGGGTCAACTGATTCAGAAACAACAAAGTCTACTGGTTACAGAATTGTTATTACCAGCCACCTGCTTCCCCAATAGTCCAGTAAATTGAGGATTTACACTTTGATGAATGAAGCTAGGTACCTAATGAAACGATTCCAAACACAAAACTTGTACTTCCTATTTATTTTTCATTAGTCACCTCCCCTGTTATGCATCTTCATGGTGCTAAAAAAATACAGAACTCACACAGATTTTTTGGACAAATGCCAGAACCAGCCCCAACTTCAATGATGGTGACTGGCTGAGGGTTGCCATCTTTTTCTGGGAGTCGCAGTAGAGTAAGCTGTTCTTTATCGCTTGACAAGATAGACCTAGAGAGTAAGAGTTTACAAATTATCCCTGATCTTTATTCATTTTATATTGCAGCAAGAGAGATTTTTGTTATATGTATGGACATATGATGCTATCTACAAAGAGCACTAAAATGTTTGCTTAAAAGTACATTATTTACCTATCAGTAATAAATATGCCTCGAGATATACTCTTCTGAGCTGCTGAACTGCCAATGCCAGAGTATCTCTCAGGCACATACGAAGCGTCCATCACTAAGTGGGAACAATGTAGGCGTTGCCCTTCAGACATTACACCAAGGCACTTGTTCTCAGAATCAATTATAAGGGATGACACTGGCCGTCGTAGGATGTAAGTCCCTTCAAACACTGCACATAACCTAAAAGAATTAAAAAAAAAAATAGTCAAATGACCTTTAACCCTTTGACTGTCGCAACCCCCAATCCTGAGGTGTCTCCTGGTGTCGCAAAATTTAAAAAAAAAAAAAAATTATTTTTTCTTATGAAATGATAGAAAATCTTTTCCCGATTGTAATGACACCAAAAAAACGAAATTTGATGGAAAACTGACGGAGTTATGGTCTCGCGAAGTTAGCGACCTCGGCGATGTTTACAAATCGGCGATTTTGCCCATTTTGAGCCCTATTTTTGGCTAATTCCTTTGTTCCAGTCGACCAAACTCATAGCTATTTCTTTAGAACTCCATTTTTTCTATCGACTGAGTACAAGAAACTGCCCATTTACCGATTTCAACTACCCAATAACATGGTCAGAAATTTGCAATTTGGCCAATTTCACGAAAATTAAAAAATATGACAATTTCAAAATAAGGTCCAGAATGAACAATGCAGACATTCCTGGCTCTAAAATAACATTTTCTTTGTTCATCAGTCATGTCTCCAGGCCCCTCTGATATTACTCTTGCTTTGTATTTTGAATTTTTATTCAAACAAAAAATAGAAGACTTAGTATTATGCAGACTACTGCAATACTGTAATAATTGTATAAATAACATCAACCCATTCATGACTGCATATTAGAATGGCTAGTTGGACATTTATTGGACAATGACATCATTTGTTTACTTTTGAACATTGGCAAAAATCAAACATTTTCCCTACTTTGAGCTCCATTTCCAGGTTCTTTTTATAGTAAAATCAATCAAAATCACCTTTATTTCTATAATATGTTTTCCATTCTATCAAATGAGACCAAGAAAATGAGAATACAACCATAAATACTATACGAAAATAGACCACAAAGTCGGCATTTTAATTAAAAAAAATGGTCGGAGTTTTTTTTTTCTCATTATGCACTGCGTGCTCCAGGATTTTTTTTATATGGCGCACACTGACCATACAGACCCATTCTCTCACATGTGGGCCTACCAGCTTTCTCCTGCTTGATTTGAAGCCGCTAGAATTTATTTTTTTTTTTTTTTTATTATCACACTGGCCGATTCCCACCAAGGCAGGGTGGCCCGAAAAAGGAAAACTTTCACCATCATTCGCTCCATCACTGTCTTGCCAGAAGGGTGCTTTACACTACAGTTTTTAAACTGCAACATTAACACCCCTCCTTCAGAGTGCAGGCACTGTACTTCCCATCTCCAGGACTCAAGTCCGGCCTGCCGGTTTCCCTGAATCCCTTCATAAATGTTACTTTGCTCACACTCCAACAGCACGTCAAGTATTAAAAACCATTTGTCTCCATTCACTCCTATCAAACACGCTCACGCATGCCTGCTGGAAGTCCAAGCCCCTCGCACACAAAACCTCCTTTACCCCCTCCCTCCAACCCTTCCTAGGCCGACCCCTACCCCGCCTTCCTTCCACTTGCACTGCGTGCTCCAGGATTTTTTTTATATGGCGCACACTGACCATACAGACCCATTCTCTCACATGTGGGCCTACCAGCTTTCTCCTGCTTGATTTGAAGCCGCTAGAATTTATGAGTATATATACGTCAAACACGGTACCTCGTAAGACGTATATATACGGCCGCGACAGTCAAAGGGTTAATCATCATAAGACTTGTCTCATTACAAGTATTAGCTCACACATATCAAGCACAATATTTGCTGATCACAGGCCACTTTAGTTTTTCTAGAATAACCTATGTAATATAATTCTCACAAAATATGTACAGTGTAACATTACAAAATACTATATATAAAAAGTAATCAGTTTGCAGGGAATGATAATGATTCTCTAGTATTAAGAGAGGATAGAGCAAAATAGGATGATTTATAGGGTGTATGAATCTGTAGTAGAGGCAAGGTGGGGTAGGGCTGTATTGGAAAGGTTGGAGGGAGGGAGCTAACCCGTAAATAGTCCAAACGTATATAATTTTTATGTTCTGATAATTACCTATGCACAGTGGCATGTACATTCACTACTTTTCCTATCATGCTTCCTCTGTCAAGAAAAGTGTTCTTATCTCCCTCTTTCTCCATGCCCTCCATATCTGTGATCCTCAGTTCCTTCCAGCAGAAATTTCCACTCTTCATAATTCGTTTTCCCATCTTAGCTACCCTTCCCATTTCAAAGACTCTGCCCTTTCACGTGCTAAACGTAATTTCTTCTCTCCCAAACTCTCTACTCCTGGGAACTCTTCTGTCCTCTGCCTTCCCTACATTTCCAGTCTTTCTAATCTCAACAATTCTCTCCGTCCCTTAGACATCAAGCTTACTTTCCGCCAGACTAACACTCTTCGCACTAATCTCGTTCATACTTCTCCTTCTACAGATGTTCCTGGTGTCTACTCTATTTCTTGCTCCTCCTGTCCTCTTCAATACTTTGGAGAAACTGGCCGAACTCTTTCTGACAGACTTAGGGAGCACAAGGCTTGCCGACACTAACAATGCTCTTTTCTGTCACGTCAGAGATCACAGCCATCTTATAGACTGGTCTTCTGCTAAAACTGTCTTCCCTACTTCCAACTTTAACAGTTGCCGTCTTGTTGAATCCTCCCTAATACACAATTTTCCTTGTATGAATCTTAGTCCTGGCTTCGTCTCTGTAGATGCCTTCCTCTCCCATTACATTGTAAAATGCTCCAAACTTCAGAATGCCTGTGACTTAACCTGATTCCTCCTTTTTTCTTCTTCCCCTTTCCTCTTTCCTTTTTCTCTTCTGGGTTATCTTTCTTTCTTCTGTCTTGTGTTTCTATTCCTGCATTATTTTTTCATTATTTTCCCCTCCCCCCACCTCTGTGTTCTTGCTTTCCCTCTGTGGGCACCTAGCTCCCTTGCAGTGCTCCCCTTTCTTTGTATTTGACTGGCTCCTCCTTCTTACTTCCTCATTACTTCTTCCCCTCCCCCCCCACCACCACTACTACTACTACTACTACTACTACTACTACCACCACCACTACCACTACTACCACCACTACTACTACCACTACTACCACCACTACCTCTTCCTGCCTATATATACCCGTCCTGCTCTACTTCTCGTTAGTGTGACTTTGTAAATGGTCCAAGTCGGACCAAAACATCATCGTAAGCTCCTCTCTTCTATGTGCGGGTTATTTGTGTATTGTTCCAGTCACAGTATTGTGCCTTTTTTTTGTTATTTACAGTAGTTCTTGTCATTTCATAACCAATCTTTGTTCTGACACTAATATTAGGTACTGAAATTGTACTGAAATTGTCACAAACACACTGACAGGTGGACATTTACACTTGGAGTTTACCTGGAGAGAGTTCCGGGGGTCAACGCCCCCGCGGCCTGGTTTGTGACCAGGCCTTATGGTGGATCAGGGCCTGATCAACCAGGCTGTTACTGCTGGCTGCACGCAATCCAACGTATGAGCCACAGCCCGGCTGGTCAGGTACCAACTTTAGGTGCTTGTCCAGTGCCTGCTTGAAGACAGCCAGGGGTCTACTGGTAATCCCCCTTATGTATGCTGGGAGGCAGCTGAACAGTCTTGGGCCCCTGACACTTATTGTGTTGTCTCTTAACGTGCTAGTGACACCCCTGCTTTTCATTGGGGGGATGTTGCATCGTCTGCCGAGTCTTTTGCTTTCATAGTGAGTGATTTTCGTGTGCAAGTTCGATACTAGTCCCTCTAGGATTTTCCAGGTGTATATAACCATGTATCTCTCCCGCCTGCATTCCAGGGAGTACAGGTTCAGGAACTTCAAGCGCTCCCAGTAATTGAGGTGTTTTATCTCCGTTATCTGCCTTGGTCATTTACCATTGTCTAGGAATATATACAAAGTATTTATAGGTCCCAACAATGTTTTGGATACACAGGAGTATATAATAATAATAATAATAATAATAATAATAATAATAATAATAATAATAATAAAATAATAACAACAACAACAACCCTTGAAGCATGATGTAAGACAAGTGCCAGTGGCAAGCTCTGCAGGGTGCAGTGATAAGTGGTGACATTTGATGAGCGCCGGCGAGGATGCAAAGATGAGATAAGGTGTGACATTTGACAAGTGCCGGCGAGGATGCAAAGATGAGATAAGGTGTGACATTTGATGAGTGCCAGCGAGGGTGCAGTGATGAGATAAGGGGTGACATTTGATGAGTGTAGGCATCTCTGTCTCTGCTTATCTGTCTCTCTGTCAGCTTCTCTCTCTTTCCATCTCTCTGCTTGTCTCTCTCTGTCTCAGAGAGAGCCACTGTGAACCAACAGGTATTCTTATGTATTATATCTACAAGCACAGTATAGCACTTTGGATTTTTTGGGTTATCCTAAGTAATTTACACTATGTATAATTGCATTTATGTATACCTGTGAGACAGAGATAGAGATAGACAGACAGATAGAGAGACAGATAGACAGAGACAGACAGATAAACATAGATACAGACAAACAGACATATGGAGATAGAGCCAGGCAGCCAGCAGCCGTCCAGCCAGTTGGCCAGCCAGCCTACCGAACACTTATTACACGTTCCAGAATTGTTTCTCTTTACCTTGGGCATAGGTTATAAGACATTCTGAAAGGGTGTTGCACAAATGTTGCACATGGGTTATTATCGAGGATTTTTATATTTCCTTGACCACATGTGGCCACATTCACCTCAAAGCCACTAAACTTGGGGTTAACATCACTTTCCTCTTAAAAGGGGAGTGTTAATATGACATGACATCATTGAATCCTTGGAGTTTGCAGGCTGGGTTTTATAGCTGGCACTCAATTTAACTAGCACTCCCACAAAGTACTAAGTGGTCCCAGATTTTTTTTAATAGTGTGCACACCGAGTGTTAAGACCCATTCTATGCTGACCAGGCATCTCAGGCCAATTATGCCAAATTTGGAGGCAAGAAAAATAAAACGTAAATATACGTTTGAGGCACTAGCGGTAAGAATGTACATATGGGTTAAAGATTTTTCGTACGGGAGGAGCTTAGATATCCAACAGACATGTGCGAGGGTGTTTGACAGGAATGGAGGCATGTGGTTTTTATGACTGTACTTTTGGAGTGCGAGCTGAGTAACATTTATGAAGGGATTCAGGGAAACCAGCTAGCTGCACTAGTCCTGGAAGTGACAAGTACAGTGCCTGCACTCTGAAGGAGGGGTGGGAATATTGCAATTTAGAGGAGCTTCTGAACTGTACTATCATCACACCTCTGGAAAGAGGTGTAATGATATTACAGGTGGGAGACAGCCAATGTGTTTAAAAAAAATAATATTTTGGGAATTTATTCTTGAGCACCCATTCTTTCAAGAAATTCACAAGTGCTCACACATCAAGCCATAAATGCAACAATAACAATGAAGAAAGAACATTAACTGTTAACAGACATGGGCAACCTGCTGAACAATCTAGGAGCTACATCAGGAAAGGCTCATTCTGCAAATGATTCCTGTAGAATATACAGAAACAATAAAGCATCTATTATACTCTAGCCCAAACTGTTCAAACAAAGAGGTAATTTTTATTATAGGAGTGCTGTGAAGTTACCACAATACAGTATGTAAAGAAATTGGTATCAGAGGTTCAGAAACATATTTACCAAATCTGTCTGCCTAGCTCCATTCTAAACTAAGGGAAAAATAATCTTTATTATGAAATGTGATACCAGCATTTACACATCTATTATGGAATGAATTTTGCAGCATTTTCAATTTTGTCACAGTTGAATTTGAAAACAATGAATGATGATTTGAACACGTGTAGATTTTTTTTTTTTAACACGCTGGTCATCTCCCACTGAGACAGGGTGATATGTAAGAGAGAGACTTTTACCATCATTCACACTATCACTATCCTGCCAGAAGTTTGCAGATATGACAATTTAGATGTCACTCTAAACAGAAAATATCCTAAACCCCTCCTTTAGGTTAACTGCAACACAAAGTGAAATGACACATTTGCCATATTTGAGCCATCAACACATTTTACATGAACAAAGAAAGCATAAAATACTCTTTACCTGCAGAAAGCCTGAGGAAGTTCCCCACACCCATACATAGAGAAGAGGAAAGGTGTTGCCCCATAGCGCCCCAAACTTGTGAGGAACAACTTCATCCTCTCTAATCCTTCTCTGCATGAAACTTCTCTTGATACCATGGCGATAGATTCCATAACAAAATGAATCAGATTGTCAGTGAGCTTGCGGGACTTTAGGAAGTCAACAAATAGCTTGTCTGCATATTCTGAAAAACAGAATTCATGAATATAGTAGTCTGCCCACCCACCTATATCTAATGACATTCCCTTTCCCATCTCTCTATCTTCATTTGATTATAGATTTACTAATACTGTATATATAAATTAGACACATATGCAACACTTGGATATCTTTAACAAGGAAACATTTCACCACACAGTGGCTTCATCATTCCTAAACAAAGAAGAATGGTGAAGATCAGACTTGTCAATTCTCTGAACCATTTATCTACACTAATATACAGAGGAACCTCTGCCTACAAGTGCCCCACCATGCGAGTTTTTTCAGGATAAGAGCCATCGCTTGGTCAATTTCTTGCTCCTGGATACGAGTCAAAATTCAGGGTGTGATCTTTCCCCTCAAGGGAGGTTCCTTGATGCTGGTGAGGGGCTCTTGATCTAGGGAATTGGATCTGTGCTCCAGTTCCCTAAATTAAGCCTGAATACCTTCCATCCCCTACCCCCACAGGCTCTGTATAATCCTATGGGTTTAGCACTTCCCCATTATAATAATACTGTAATAATAATAATAATAATAATTTCATTATTATTTTTTTTTTTTTTTTTTTTTATTATCACACTGGCCGATTCCCACCAAGGCAGGGTGGCCCGAAAAAGAAAAACTTTCACCATCATTCACTCCATCACTGTCTTGCCAGAAGGGTGCTTTACACTACAGTTTTTAAACTGCAACATTAACACCCCTCCTTCAGAGTGCAGGCACTGTACTTCCCATCTCCAGGACTCAAGTCCGGCCTGCCGGTTTCCCTGAACCCCTTCATAAATGTTACTTTGCTCACACTCCAACAGCACGTCAAGTATTAAAAACCATTTGTCTCCATTCACTCCTATCAAACACGCTCACGCATGCCTGCTGGAAGTCCAAGCCCCTCGCAAACAAAACCTCCTTTACCCCCTCCCTCCAACCTTTCCTAGGTCGACGCCTACCCCGCCTTCCTTCCACTACAGACTGATACACTCTTGAAGTCATTCTGTTTCGCTCCATTCTCTCTACATGTCCGAACCACCTCAACAACCCTTCCTCAGCCCTCTGGACAACAGTTTTGGTAATCCCGCACCTCCTCCTAACTTCCAAACTACGAATTCTCTGCATTATATTCACACCACACATTGCCCTCAGACATGACATCTCCACTGCCTCCAGCCTTCTCCTCGCTGCAACATTCATCACCCACGCTTCACACCCGTATAAGAGCGTTGGTAAAACTATACTCTCATACATTCCCCTCTTTGCCTCCAAGGACAAAGTTCTTTGTCTCCACAGAAAAAATAATAATAATAATAATAATAATAATAATAATAATAATAATAGGAGTGAATGAAGACGAATGGTATTTGGGACCTGACAAGCTGTTGGAGTGTGAGGAGGGTAATATTTAGTGAAGGGATTCAGAGAAACCAGTTATTTTTATATAGTCAGACTTGAGTCCTGGAAATGGGAAGTACAATACCTGCACTTTAAAGGAGGGGTTTGGGATATTGGCAGTTTGGAGGGATATGTTGTGTATCTTTATATGTACACCTACCATCCGACTTACGACCGAGTTCGGTTCCGAGAAACCGGTCGTAAGTCGAAATGGTCGTAAGTCGAACTTTACTACTGAATATCAACAAAACGTTTTTGTAATGACTTTATTTTATTGTTTTATTTTGGTATTTCATGTTTTATTTTACTTTTTATGTTGTTAGTACTGTATTTTATACTGTAAGGTTTAGGATAAACACTGTGTACAACACAAATAGTTGTTTATTTCCCAGAAATTTGGCATAAAAAACACAGTCGTAAGTCGAGCAGGTCGTAAGTTGGATGGTAGATGTATATGCTTCTAAACTGTTGTATTCTGAGCACCTCTGTAAAAACAGTGATTATGTGTGAGTGTGGTGAAAGTGTTGAATGATGATGAAAGTATTTTCTTTTTGGGGATTTTCTTTCTTTTTTGGGTCACCCTGCCTCGGTGGGAGACGGCTGACTTGTTAATAATAATAATAATAAAAAAAAACAACAATAATAATAATAATAATAATAATAATAATAATAATAATAATAATAATAATATATTACTGTATATATTACCAAATGTAAAAGGAGAAACTTTCGTTTTTCCTTTTGGGCCATCCCGCCTTGGTGGGATACGGCCGGTGTGTTGAAAGAAAAATAATACGTACAACAATAATATAATAATAATACTATAATAATAATTATAATAATAATCCTATAATAACAAGTGAGCTTGAGAATGTAGCCACTAGATGCCACAGTGAATACTACAAAAACGCTTACCTCATGGTGGAAGGATTTCTCTCGTGTTTTGCTTACGTTTTGTGCAGTTATTTTGCCAAATTTCTCTAACCATGGGTCCTAAGAAATTAAGTGCAAAGGACAGTGCTAAGAAGAAAAAGAGGATGATGCCCGTGGAAGTAAAGCATGAAATCATAGATAAACACAAGCGAGGTGTACAGGAATTCTGCTGGAACGGATTAATGGCATTTCAATTAATTTAAATGAGGAAAATTTGCTCAGCATACGAGCAGATCACGTTATGAGCTAGGTCATGGAATGGATTAAACTCGTAAGCAGAGGTTCCACTGTATACTGTATAATATGTATTGTATGAGATATAAATATGCTAATATGTATATTGTACATCATTTTATGATGCTTCCTAACATCCAAGTCAATGGATGTGCACTCGTAATATTTGTTTTTCAACAGTTTAATAGAAAAGGCATTAATTTACACCTTACATTATGCTTTTATATTCATGAGTATCATAAGGGATTGGTATAAGTTCCCTATCAAAACATCCATACCAGTACTTTTGATTTTTCATAAGTGCAAGGTACTCCATGAGGAATGTTAAAAAAAGGAAAATGCCTGTCATTTATTTTATAATAACAATGCGAGAAATAGTTAAACTTACCTTCTAGCTGCTCAGGATTCTCTTCATAGCTGTGACAAAACTCTAAAAATTTCATAAGGAGTCTTTTTTCTATGAGTGAGATAGTGTCTGCAGTGAAGACGTCGCTGCGGGTACATGGGACCACCAACAAATTACCCTCACCCTCCCTAGATGCCACCCAGGTAAGGACACGAGTGATGCACTTGAACTCTGCATACCTGTATAAACCTTCAGTGTCACTTATATTATCTTTGCTAAACTTAAAATTTACTCATTTAATAATGAAAATGCCCTGTCCATAATTAAAATTATTTCACAACACTCTTTGGTGTTATTTCGAAGTTTATTACGTATCTACTAACAGCAATACAAGAAAATTACAGAATAACTCCCATATTACCTAGCACAGAAATTAGAATTGCTAAAATACATGAAGACAATTTTTTCTTTTAACAACCCGGCCACATCCCACCGAGGCAGGGTGACTGGAAAAGAAAAATGAACGTTTCTCTTTTTAAATTTAGTAACGTATACAGGAGAAGGGGTTACTAGCCCCTTGCTCCCAGCACATTAGTCGCCTCTTACGACATGCATGGCTTATGGAAGAAGAATTCTGTTCCACTTTCCCATGGAGATGAAGACAAATAACTATATTAAATTAACTGAAGAGATCCACACCTCTATTACAACATACAGAAAAGACAGAAGTAGGAAATTTACACAAATCTAAAAAGTGTCTATTATGGGCATATAGTATGAGCAGAATTAAGGGAATTTAGTAAGAGAAATAAGATCACAGAAAATAATGGGTCCTAACAAAAGTATAGTTCAGTGTGCTGAGGAGGGGTTCTTCAGGTGGTTGACGAGGAGGGTACATAAATCTGGAGTGGAGGTAAGGAGGGGTAGGGGTCATTCCTGGAAAGGCTGGTGGAGAGGGTCAAGGAAGCTCAGAGTACTAGGTGCCTGAACATCAAACAAGCTTGTGTGAGCAACTGAGCATGTTACATTGAAGTGAAGGCAATATTACATTTATGAAGGAATTCAAGGAAATTGATTAGGGGTGGGAAGTACAACACTTGCACTGCAAAGGAGGTGTGTGAATGTTGCAATTTGGTGTGCCATCTGAACTGTGATGTCAGCATGCTTCTGGGAAGACAGGGCTTGAATAAATAATGGTGATTGCATTTCCTCTCTTTTGGGTTACTGTACCTAGATGGGAGACAGCCAGTGGGCTTAAAACAATTAACCCTTCTACCAGATATAACATATACTTATTATAAACATGCAAAAATCAAAGGCCATTCAAATTTCCCTGCAGTTCACCATTTTAGGCCTTCAAATGACTTGTAGGAACAGGTGCTAAATGATCTCACTTAGAAAAATCCTGAAACACACAGTGGCTTTCAGGAAAAGAGGGAAGTGGATATGAATGAGGTGCTGTAGTGCACTGCTGCTGTGATGACGACACAAGATACTGTATTTTGAGTGACCTTCCAATCAACAGGATTATTATGTGTATTGCCATCAGTAGCAATGGATTAAGTTGCAATAAAGCAAACTGAACAATTTCAAAGGAGTAAAGAATTATCTAAAAGCAATGGTGAAAATACATTGCACTAACTTCTACACCCATTCCTTTACAAAGAAAGTGGGTATTTACTGTGAACCTTTGAGTAATAGGGAAACATGGATGCCCATTATAAATGACTGACTATTAAATTCAAATTATGAGACTGTTTTTCATTATTTTAATAAGACAATTTTAAATTTAACATACTTTGTCCATTAACCCTTTAACAGTGGGACAGCCTCAATAAAAAATTCTTGTGTGTGTGGGAAGATTTTGGAAAATAAAAAAATAGTTTGTCTTACAGACTGATAGAGCTTGTTCTTCTGAATCAAATTAGACTAAAATGAGTGAAATCTGATAGAAACTTACAATTCTGTGGTGTGCTGAAGTTGGTAAAAAAAATATCACTACTTGGCAACAGTGGCATAAATGTGCCAGTGGCATTTACATTTTACAACTGACACTAATGTATGATTGTTCTTTTTTTTTATTTGTTTTTAATGTTTAATGCTATATATACAAGTTTTTAATTATGTTAGATGTGTTTCTAGGTATTTTAGCACTTCAAACATTGCTTCACTTGGAATAATCAATATACAGCAGGGCCCCGCTTTACGGCGTTCCGCTAATACGGACATTTCAAATTATGACCAAAACTCGCTATATGGCTCCCCCACCTGTCTTTCTAATACGGTCACAGCGGCCCACCGAGTTTGTTTACATTCTCCCTGAGCACATCTCCTTATTATGTCTGGAAACTTTCCAAAATTTCAAGTGTTTTAAAGTTATTGTATATTTTATATGTATTGTACTTGATAATTAAACTTGTGTACACCTGTACCTAAATAAACTTACACACTGTGCTGGCATGTAGGTACACATTAAAATCACTAAGTCTCTCTCTACTCTTGATGCAATAATAATAATAATAATAATAATAATAATAATAATACACGTAGTAATAATAATAATCTCTTGGGCACATTAACCCTTTCAGGGTCCAAGGCCCAAATCTGGAGTCACGCACCAGTGTCCAAGAATTTAAAAAAAAAAAATTTGTTATTTTTTCTTATGAAATCGTAGAGAATCTTTCTGTGAAGGTAATAAAACAAAAAGTACGAAATTTGGTGGAAAATTGACGAAATTATGCTCTCGCGAATTTTGATGTGTCAGCGATATTTACAAATCGGCGATTTTGCCGACTTTGACTCCCATTTTAGGCCAATTACATTATTCCAATCAACCAAATTCTTAGCTATTTCACTAGTATTACTTCTATTCTATCGATTGAGCACAAGAAATCGCCAAGTCAACTGTTTCAACTACAAAATAAAGTGATCGGAAATTGTTAATTTGGCCAATTTAACACAAAGTTCAAAATATTCCAATTTCAAAATAGGGTCCAGAATGAACAATGTAGGCATTCCTGGCACTAAACAACATTTCCTCTGTTCATTAGTTATGTTTTGAGGCTTTACAAATAAATTCCATTTTGATTTTTTATTCACATAATGAATTTTTATTCACACCAAAAATAGAAGATTTACTCTTATGCAATACTGTAATAATTGTATAAATATCATCACCATATTTGTGAATGTATATTAGACCCACCAGCTGACGTGTATTAGACGTGTGAGGTCGTTTGTTTACTCTTGAATATCGGCAAAAATTTAACATTTCCGCTACTTTGAGCTCAGTTTCAAGCCATTTCCAATGCTAAAACTAATCAAAGTCATCTCTATTTCTGTAATATGTCTTCCATTCTATCAAATGAGACCAAGAAATCGCAAATACAACTATAAAAAACATACGAAAAAACACTGCAAAGTTGCTGTTTTAATCGAAAAATCATGATTTCATTTTTTTTCTCTCATTATACACAGTGTGCTGCAGGATCTGTTTTATGTGGTGCACACATACCACATAGATGTATTCTCTCATATCTAGGCCCAAATGTACCACTCACAGTTTATCAGAGTGAGCTGAACTCATGGCGTAGATCTACGGTTTGGACCCTGAACGTAAAGCCGTAGATCTACGGGACGGACCCTGAAAGGGTTAATGTCGCATATTACGTTAATATAGACATTTCCCTTAATCTATCTATGATATTTTTTTCAAAATTATATAAGAAACACATTATGTAACACACAAACATGATACATGCACCCACAGTATAAAAATTTTTACAAATATATATGAGATGTTTACCAAACGGTTTGTAGAAGTGTCGGAAGAATTACGTTTTCTCTAGCCCGTCACCTGTTACTAGGGATAACTGTAGAAAAATATTCCTTTCGTATGCCTTCACTTTATAGCTATAATTCTGTACTAACTTGTACACAGTGTAAGAGTATTTGTTTCGTGATTTAATTATTATAATAATAATAAAAATATTATAAGGTAAAAGTTTCACAAACTCTTACAAATGTACATGAATGAACTAAAACTGGACACGTATTAATACCGTCTATTTCGCCTGACCGAGTGATCGTCCACAACCTGTTCAGTTTGTTTGTTTACGCTGTCTGAGCTCGGTGTATCATTAAATGTTGTTTTTTTATTTTTTTTTTTTTATTATCACACTGGCCGATTCCCACCAAGGCAGGGTGGCCCAAAAAAGAAAAACTTTCACCATCATTCACTCCATCACTGTCTTGCCAGAAGGGTGCTTTACACTACAGTTTTTAAACTGCAACATTAACACCCCTCCTTCAGAGTGCAGGCACTGTACTTCCCATCTCCAGGACTCAAGTCCGGCCTGCCGGTTTCCCTGAACCCCTTCATAAATGTTACTTTGCTCACACTCCAACAGCACGTCAAGTATTAAAAACCATTTGTCTCCATTCACTCCTATCAAACACGCTCACGCATGCCTGCTGGAAGTCCAAGCCCCTCGCACACAAAACCTCCTTTACCCCCTCTCTCCAACCCTTCCTAGGCAGACCCTACCCCGCCTTCCTTCCACTACAGACTGATACACTCTTGAAGTCATTCTGTTTTGCTCCATTCTCTCTACATGTCCGAACCACCTCAACAACCCTTCCTCAGCCCTCTGGACAACAGTTTTGGTAATCCCGCACCTCCTCCTAACTTCCAAACTACGAATTCTCTGCATTATATTCACACCACACATTGCCCTCAGACATGACATCTCCACTGCCTCCAGCCTTCTCCTCGCTGCAACATTCATCACCCATGCTTCACACCCATATAAGAGCGTTGGTAAAACTATACTCTCATACATTCCCCTCTTTGCCTCCAAGGACAAAGTTCTTTGTCTCCACAGACTCCTAAATGCACCACTCACTCTTTTTCCCTCATCAATTCTATGATTCACCTCATCTTTCATAGACCCATCCGCTGACACGTCCACTCCCAAATATCTGAATACATTCACCTCCTCCATACTCTCTCCCTCCAATCTGATATTCAATCTTTCACCACCTAATCTTTTTGTTATCCTCATAACCTTACTCTTTCCTGTATTCACCTTTAATTTTCTTCTTTTGCACACCCTACCAAATTCATCCACCAATCTCTGCAACTTCTCTTCAGAATCTCCCAAGAGCACAGTGTCATCAGCAAAGAGCAGCTGTGACAACTCCCACTTTGTGTGTGATTCTTTATCTTTTAACTCCACGC